CAGCACCCCCTGCTATGCCAGCCCTGCCAATGCCCCTCCCCCGACTCACAGCACCCCCTGCTGTGCCAGCCCTGGCCCCCAGCCCTGCCCCTGAACTGTCCCCAGCGGCACAGTGTCCTGTGTGAACAGGTTGAGTCGGATGAGACCCAACAGCTTCTTTTTGCAGTGTGCCTTTAGCCAGGCTCTGAGCTCCCTTTCCCAGAGGTGCCAGGCCAGTGTACTCACGGTGCCTCCCCACTGGAAAACGCTGTGGGCCCATCATAGCCACACACCGGGACAGTGCTAGGAGGGTCCCCAAATTCAGGTTCCGGCCAAAGCTCTGCCGGTTGCGATCTCCCTTTGTGCCTAGCGACTGCAGCTCAAACCGGTCCCTGGCTGGGCTCCGGAAGAAATGCCTCCACCCCAGGCCCCGGCAGGGTATTGTACAGCTAGGGGCAGTATGGAAGGTGGCACCTTACCCTGCAGCTCCTCTCAGCGTCAGGACCCCGGAGCAGCTGGACCATTGGGGGTTGTGATCTGGCCTTTGCCACAGTAAATACGAGGCCACCTGGTGTCCTGATGCCCTCCCCCAGATGCCTGTGCTACGTCAGCTGTGACAGCGGCGAGGCACAGCCTGAGGAGAGACTGCGCCGGCTCCCGTAGCCTGTGTGCGCAGACCCTCCTTGGGTCTGTGTTGTCTGCTGAGGAAGGTGACAAGGAAGCTCTCTGGGTCTGAGATCTCCAGGGGGTTTATAGCAGCTTGGTGCCCGGCAGCTGTCACTCTCCCACGCTGGCATCACGGGCTTTCCATCTCTTTCAGGACCAGAACAGCAGCAGGGTGCTCGGTGAAAAGGTGATTGGCATCACCGTGGGGAACACCCCCGTATCAGGCCTCCCACAGGACGTGGTCCTCAAATTCTTTCATGTCCAGCTGCCGGTAGGTGTGAGAAACGGCCCCATTCCAATCAGTCTGCCCAGGGCGGGGGTGGGGGCTGAGACCTGCCAACTCAGCTTCTGCCTCGGCTCTGTCGCCCCATCCTCTCTAGGGGATCCCCTTCCAAAACACGTAGCTCAGGCCAACTAACCTGAGACGGCACAGACGGTGTCTGATCTTTCCCTGCCCCATAGGCTGTTGCTGGGAGGAGCCTCCCTCTTGAAAAAGGAGGTGACCGACTGGACTGCTGGGGAGAGAATGATCTTTGTTTCCTGGCCCCAGTCACATGACAAGGGCCAGAGTTTCTTTTCTCCTCCTGCCCCCATCTGCCCCTTGATCTGCCCCTCAGCCAAACTCACCTGCCCCGTGAATAACCCAGAGAGGCTCAGGCATCACCACCCATGTTCTTGTCCTTTCAGAGGAACGTGACTCCACAGTGCGTGTTCTGGGACGTGGACTCCAGCCGTGAGTATCTCAGAGAGAGCAGGCAGTGACTGACACCTGTGCAGTGGGGGAGTCCAGTGCTACCCTCCCGATTTGACAGCACCTTATGCTGGCTTTGCACAGGTGTGAGGTGGGAACCAGACCCCTAGCCTAGCTGCCCAGGGTATGGAGTGAGCATCAGTCACTTTACAACCTGAAGCATGGGACTGGACTGTCCTTGGTATTTTAACTCTTGTAGAGACAAACTCTGGGCCAAGTCCAACTCCCATTGGAGTGGATGGAAAGACTCCCATTTACTTCAGTAGGAGTGGGATTGGCCCAGCACATGGTCAGTGGCTGGATACATCCATCCCTTTTCC